GGGGCGGGGCGGCCTGTGCGGGGCGGCATCGCTGTGCGGGGGGCACGGCCGCGCGGGCTTCCCCGCACGGGTCTGGCGAGTCAGCCCCAGCCTCCCCCACTTTGCCTGCAGAGGGTCCCTCCGGTGGGCTTTGATCTTTGGGTCCTCTGAGGGGAGGCTTTTTTTTTTTTAATTTACAAGTAGGTGTTTACTCGAAGTGGGTTTTACTCGATTGCTTTTTCTGTAGGCTGAAAAAATACTGCAGCTTGAGCTATTCTAACATGCAGTGCCCTTGTTTTACTTTATGGTGGTCTCGGAGCCTTGCCGGTCATCGAGGGCTGGAGCAGCCACCTGGGCCCAAGGTGTAAGTCCAGGTGATGGGCGCTGGCTTCTCCTGCGGCTGTGTCCTGAGTTGCAGCACTAAAATGGGTACTTCTGCAGGGATGAAGTGATGCTGGTACACTCTCAGAGTAGAGGTCTGCCAAATAACTAGTAATTATGTACAGAAGTTAACAGGGCAAAACACTATGTTTCTGCAAACTTTCTGGAACATATGAATTTATTATATGTTTAGAAAATATAGAGATAAGTCCCAAATATTAATCTAATTGCTATCTGAAGTCCAGTAAAAATCCAGTTATTTAACTGTACACTGCACATATAAGAAATGTGCCCTTATTGTATATAAAGAGCTCATTTACCATAGCACATTAAGTCAATTACATCTGCAATTCCTGTTGAGTTTCATCTTGTGTCATCCTGCTGTTTAGTCACCATTTCTCTTTGGAGGTGTTTTATTGCCATATTTAAGGTATCAAAACTTAATCCACAACAAGTTCACTTGTTAAAGGGTCAGATCAAAAGGTGTGAAACAAACAATCACAGAGCAGCCACAGTTCCAATAGCATAGCTTCTGTATTCTGGTCTGTTACTAAATTTTGGGTTTAAGAATATCTAAGTATTCACAGGCTACTGTATTTTTAGGTACTATTTAGGACCATAGGCTTCTAATTCACACTTGAAGGACATGAAAGAGCCATCTACATCAGGTTGCATCTGGTCCCTTGCAGGGAGATAATAATAATCTTTGAAATTATTGACTACTACTTAGAACTAACTTCTTTTTAATTTAATGCCTATTTGCATTAGAATAGTGGTTAAAGCTACAGTGAATATTTCGTGTTTTTTTCCTTAGCAATTAAGCATGCTGCAGTTGCAGCAAAGAGAGGAAATGGCATTCCAAGGACTGTGGTTTCTGAATAGCTCTTGGCCAAGAGTGTACACAGAATCCAGGCCATTAATGTTTAATATCTTGTTAATTAAATAAGTATACAAGTTAAAACATGCCACTGAATGCAGTACAGACTGATAATTCATGGATGTTGGACTTCCTATAAATAAGTAAAAATAAGTGTGACATTAGTTTTGTGGAATAATGGTTTCTGGTTTAACTATATCTTTAGTAAGGATGTAATGTGTATTGTCTCTTACTAGGAATAGTTCATACACAGCAATTACAATTTCAGCGTGGCTGCTGTTGTAGAATGTTACAATATACTTTTAAGTTATAACTTCCAGTCTTTGTCATTCTAAAATACTCACTTAATGAAGATGCAGCTTTCTATGCCTGTTTTCTCCTTTAAGCTGGCTAGGTTTTGCCTCTGAACAATGTTCCTTCACGTATTTCTGCATTGGGAGACCAGAACAATATAAATGATATGTTGTGTACACACACACAAAGAAGCAATGCAATAGGTAAGTTTTGGACCTCAGCTTTTGCCATATAAAATATTATTACTATTCAAGATTAATACAGCATGTACTTGGAATAGAAGCATGCAGCATAATCAACCTGCACAAGCAATCTGCCTTTTGAGCTGCATGTTCTTGGGAAATGAACACAGGGACTTTCTTTGTTTTTCACTAGTTTCCAAAGGAAGACTGGCTTACACACTCATCCTCTGCATATTTGTGTTTCAATGTACTAGTTTCAGTCAAATTTGACAGAGGTGAGGAGTCATTTAAAAATGAATCTTCATTAAGCTTGTGCAAGAAATAGTGTGATTAGAGGAAAATGTGTTCCTAATGCTATAATTCCAGGAAAAAGTATAGCATGACCTCAGGTATTACTGGACATCAGAGAATCCACAGAGGAAGAAGCTGTTATACATCATCTGTCCACCAGAAGTGCACAGTTTTAGTCGTAACACATACTTGACTAGATCCTACAGGATTGATTCCTCAACAAAGATAATTCTCAGAGATGGATTTTCAGGTATCTAAACAGACACAAATTCAATTATAGCACTTCCTATATGGTTTGGGCTTTTACAACAGGTTTGTCTCTGTCTGTTTGGCTTTCTATCACTCTCTCATTTCCATTCAGTTTAAAGACCAGTCACAGGATCCCAAATGCCTGAAAACCAGAATTCTGCTCTTAAATACATATTAAGATACACAGGCTGTGAAACTTGGCAGTACTTTAGGTTTTCACTTTGAGAGGCTGGCAATCACCTGGAGATTTTTACATGTGAAATGTTACGGTGTGGGAGTTCCTCAGCAGAGTGTAAAAGAAAGTATGACCACAGGTGGAAACACAATACTTCACATTCTGTTTTAAATTTATTGCCTGTAGTAGTGACATAAACAGTAAATGGAAGCAAATTGGTGATTGCCCCTTCAGGACTTGAAACTGTTGTAAAACTGAAGGAAATGAAAACTCATTATTGGATCTGGAGGAAAACACTACCTTCTAGAAAGGACAAGGAGGTAAGTTTTATTTTATTGGTTTTCTGTGTTTAAAGTTTTGTAATGTTATGTGCTTTTTTATTTGGCCAGAGTTTGACAATAGCTACAGTCGCTTCCAAGTTGCCTTGTAAGGGGAAATGTGTCAAAAGTATATAAGGTGTGCTGGATACAATCTGTGTTTTAAGGAGGCTATATAGAAAGCATAGGGTTTTGCAGCTTCAGGGCCATGCTGAGAAACTGTGCCGTGTATCATGCACAAATTAAGAAAAAGTAGTAAAAAGAGACTCTATAGATGTTGTTTGCAGCAGATTATGAAAATAGTAAGTTAACAAAGATACATTTTCAAATAATGCCACTGATACTGTGGGATTCCTTTGATTTACTTTATTGTGATGTTAGCATACAGAAAGGTAGGATTTTCATTATGATTGCTACATTACAGAACATAATGCTGTTTTGTTATTTCAGCCTTCCATATCTCTGTAAATCTTCAAATAAATTAAAACATCAACACTAAGGGTAGGACTGTGCACACATTGCCAGTGAAAGAGAATGTATGTGGAGGGTGTATTGAAGTCCAAGAGCTTTTAGGCTCAAAATAGATTTTAGGGGAAAGCATTTTATTAGACTAAAATACTTCCTTGCAGTTTCTAGTCCTGGTATTACCTGAACCAAACTAAAAGTTGGCTTGCTCAAATTCTGACATCAGAGTCTGTGATGCTTACAAATTGTTTATGAATGGGCAGCATGCGTGCTTGCTATAATCTGTTGGTTTTAAATTTTATCATTGTTCTTTCCATAACTGTCTTGATGACTGAGTCTTCATTGTTTGTCTTTTCATCTATTACTAACAGCAAAAGATCAGCTAGAAAGAAATTTAACTTTCCAATAGGAAGGAATTACATGGATTTCTCCTTTTAACCTAAAGGAACTCTTTGAGCTGAAAGCTAGATACCTCAAACTCTTCATAAAAATCTCCGAGAGTCAGGTGGAATCTCTGCAGTTCCCCGATTCCTTCCTCACAATGTCCTAGGATTGATGCTAAGTGTTTATACAATTAATTTTTTAATGTTAGTGTTACTAATGGTTGGTATTTAAAATGTAGTTGGAAAATGTAGCTCCAGCATGTAGTTAGAAAAGTTACATGCATCCCGCTTATTTTTGAACCACTCAGAAGCATCACTGAAGAATTAGAACTATGGATTAAAGGTTAGTGATTTATTTGCATCTCATTTCTGAAAAGAAATGTGTATGTGACCTATTCTACTATGGTTGATTGTACATGTACATGACAAAACTGCTACAGTGCTTTTCCTGTCTTACCAACAGAGCATTAGAAAAGAGAGGATGTTGGTTGTAATAAAAATCCAGCAGTAGCTGTGGGGTGGGTTCGTATCAAACTGTTACAGCCTGTCTGTGTCTTTTGCCTTTGAATTATGAAGCACAGAGTGTTACTTGTTCCCTGATAAGCTTGTCATCTTTTCTTGCTTTCATACGTAGTTTGATTAAGCTGTCACCCAGTGATTTAAGCGACCCTTCCTACAATGTAAGGTGGGCACGGATCAGCTGGCAGGGTGCAGGCGTCCCTCGCTGTGGCCTGAGGCTCGATGAGGGGCAGCTGGTACCCCCGCCCCTCGGGACCGGGACGAGCCGGGGCCGTGCGGCGGCAGCTGCGTCTTCGGAGCTGTTTGCTGGGACGCTGGTCCCTCCTCTGTCCTGCTGGTGCTCGTGTGCCGGTCTCTCTCGCAGGTTATCTACGTGTATAGCGCTTACCGGGCCGTTTATGTAAACGCTTCAGTTTAAAATTGGTCTTTACAAAGCAAAAGCTGGTCTGGTCCTATTGTGAAGTGATAGAACCTTGGTTTTTTTTTCCTTTTAAGTGTAAGCTTGGATAGATAACTTGAGGGAATGTATAAGATAAAAAATCAGCGATCCTTTCATTCTTCATGTTTATTAGTTAAGTATTTTGGCACTCTGTGATAATGTGACTTAAGTTTCAAGGAATGGTCGTTAACTTGGTTGAATTAATTGAACAAAGGTAAAGACTGAAGCAATTTTCTCAACTTCAGAAATAAAAAATCCTGATAGGAGATAATTAAACTTAATTTTAACAAGTGTGAGAAATATAACTTACTATTTGGGCATTCCTCCTGACAGTGTACAGGTTCGTTTTGAATATGGATAAACAAGCACCTGCTAAATCATCTAACATTTTCACCTTGGATGCTGTTAAAGGGCATATGAGGAAGAGGGATGGAACATTACAAGTTGCAAAACGGAATGCTGCTTTAGCATCTAAAATAAAAAATAAATTAATAAGTAAGTCCTGTTAAAATAAAACTTGAGCCATTTACTGTGCTTAGAATGTATGACCTCAAAAGGAGTGGTAATTGTATTTAATGTGGTTTGCTGAGTTGTTTCCTGTTAAAAATACTAATTGGGATGTTGAGAATTTTAGGAGAGTTTGAAAGATAAAACAGATGGTTGTAATTTGTTTCTTTTATTTAATTTTCAAGTATTTTCAGTGCTTGTTCTTTGGCATGCCAGTGTTCTTTCAAAAAGTGTACTCAGGTGCATTTCTAACATCCATGTCTTCCTCCATTTGGGGCATCTAAAAACTGAGGTACCAAAATGAGTAAAATCAATTACCTTGTACAATACAAGTGCCGTAGTAAAATACGTAGTAGTTCCATTTGCCAAATGGGATTCATATACAATTCTTCATTGAGTCACTTACTAAATCAAAGAAAATTACAAATATTAATCTGCTGATGTAATCACTTGCCAGAAGGTAGTGTGTTTTTCCAGTAAGTTTAGATTAAATTCAAATATAGGTTTGTCTTGGTAGATGGATGGGTTTTGTTTCTGGCTCTGATAAAAACAACACTATGGAACACATCAGATGCTCTTCTGCAAAAGGTAGGGAAACTGTAAATGTTTTGAAACACTGCTATTTCAGCATGCTCTACTATAATCAGCATGGTTAATTGGAGGTTGATTTCTGCTTCTCTTTCTGTGATCGATGAAACAATTTTTGTTGTTTGGGTATATATGTTTATATATTTTTTCTTTCTGTGGCTTTATGTCAAAAATACTAATTTTCAGTGAAAAATAAACAGTATAGATGAATAATACTAATTGCCTTTAGAAATACCTACATTGTAATTAATACAAGTAATTTACTAAGCTGAATTTCAAAGCATCATGTTTGGATTAACTAGGTTGCACTGTTGTTGCCTATATCCCAAAGCAAAGAAAAAAGGCCTTGCAAATGTCAGATGACAGATCACAGAAGTAATAACGTAAGACAATGAAGAGATCTAGTTGGACCAGATTTCAAGCTAACCTTGCCCCATTTTGTACTATCGAAGACTATGAGCAGACTTGTCTCTGCCTTGAGTTCAAGTTAACCCTGTGTATACTGTAAATATGAAAGTAAGCTTGGTAGTATGCAGTATCATTAGAAAAAAACAATTTAAGTTCCTAAAATGTTCTGTAACATATATGAGTAGGCAGGTTTTCATTAGGACAGTGGAGTGTTTCTTTCTAATGTGAAGACTTTTTTCTTTCTGTTCTCAAAACTCACATTTATGCTCAAAATATTTGAGCTTTATAATTTGTAAAATGTATATTTGGTTGTTTGTTTTTTTAAATTTGGAAACATTTTTATACTTCTGAAACTATGAATTTTTAAATGTTTTCTTCTTAAAATAACCTGATTTTAAAAACCCAGACTAGAGAATACATGCATGAAATAAACTTGAAGCTGAGAGAGTACTCATCAGAATGACAGCCAACAGAAACAGTTTTATATTAGAAAGGATTAGACTTTGCTGTTGTTCCACCAAAATGGACAGATAAAATTGTTGTTATGTAGTGATAGTTCATGAAGAGAGAGGGCCTAGAATTGAAGCTGTTGAAAATAATTATTTTTGTCTCCTTTAGATAACTCATCTATGTTTAAGGTATCTTTGAAACAAAATAATAAAGCATTAGCTGTGGCTTTGAGTGCAGAGAAGGAAAATTCTCGGAAGCTAAAGAATGAGAAGATTTTTCTTCAGAAGGAAGTAGAAAAACTGCAGTTTCATAATACGTTTCTTCGTCAAAAACTAAAGTGTTTGGTATGCTGCAAATAATATAATTTAAAATTAGATCAGCTAAAGCAAGTTTGGTTTTTATTGAAATCTTAATATTGCTTCTTAAAATGGTGATTTAAAGTGTAAATCTCAGATTTGTGAAATAATATCATATCATATCATATCCTGTGTGATGTACTCTAGGTGACCCTGCTCTGGCAGGGGGGTTGGACTAGATGATCTTTCAAGGTCCCTTCCAACCCCTAGGATTCTGTGATTCTGTAATATCATTTGATAGCATAGAATTAATGTTTAAGTTTTCTTTCATAGGGTTTTTTTTTACTTACTGCTTTGTCCATCAGTCCGTATGTCTATCCATAACTTTTTTAGTGTCGGCTTCACTTTTGTAGGTGATGAGAAGGTATTAAAAATAATTTTTGTTCAATTGAATATTAACAAAATTAAAACCCAAAAAACATTCACCTATGTATCATTTTGAGCTAGAAGCCATTTACAATTTATTTTTCAAATGACTTGTTCTTTTACATGCAGAATAAAACTCTTACAGAAATAGAAGTCTTTTTGAATTATAACCTCTTAACTGCAATAGAGATAAGCAGTCTTCCTGAGGTAAGATGTTTTTTGAACTATTAATATGTTGAACTCATTTTCCAGGATAATATTTTCAAAGCATCTAAATGAATGCAATATTGAAATAATATAGATATATCTTAAAACATTTATCCCAATTCTGTGGAATGGGGATGAAACTCTAATCTATTAAATCAATTACATTTAGGACTTAATCTTGTTTACAAAGTATCTAAAAATTAAATATTAGTTAGTCCTAGTGAAGTAATGTGGTTAAAAACAAACCAAAAAAAGCATTGTACTTCAGTACGTAGTTTCTTCACCAACCAGTGCCCTACTTGCCTTCCTTGATTAGTGCTGCAGTAAATATCTTGCATGAGGAAATTTTATTAGAAAATATAACCCATGTAATTCCTTGTGTCACGAAAAATTCAGTTTATTTTAAAAAAAATAAATAATTATTTGTTCTCAGCAGTTCCGTAGTTTTGCTGTATGCTTCTGTATGTATAATGCACTTTGGATTAATTATAGCTACATTTGAAAAGTCTATACGTTGCTTTGGGATGCAGGTAGGTTACAGATTTTTATAGGTTTTGCTACAAAATGTTTTTCTTTAAAATTATTGTGTGTGTTTGAATATCATGCACCTTTCATCAGTACTTCTAGCTTTTGCCCATTCTTTTTTTTTTTTTTTTCCCCCATGGGTATTTCTGATACTTAAACGATGAGACAATATTCAACTGTTTCTACTTCCCCACTGTTACTGTTTTAAAAGAATCTTCAGAGTTGTCTTCCTCTGTCAGCTGGTCCAAGTAGCCCTACTGATGACCAGTTCAAGAGTACCTGTCAGTCAGCTAGGTAGGTGTTTATATTAAATGCAGAAGCTGGTAAGTGCCTATGCATTTTTTTAAATCTAATTTCTGTATATTTTCCTAAGTATTTTTGAGATAATGAGAAATAATTTCCTGTCTAATTCAGAAATTGTCAATTTGCAAGTGTAGTGAGAGTGATAGACAAAACTTGTGCTTGAATAACTTGCTTCTTTCATCATGGGATCTCACTGGCACAAAGCACTATTCTCTATCATAAAAAATAAGTTTGCCCCTAAGACAGAACCAGATTTCATAGTTCTTGTTTTGTGCTGTGAGTCATTATTAAGGGAATGTTTTAAACAATTGAATGTTATGGCATAAAATGTAATAAAACTCTTCACAGTAGTTTTTTTTCTTTTCAGGTCTGTGGAATCGCCGGTGAAGCTCCCTTTAACTGCAACAGCTAATACAGAAGAGCAAGGTAGCCTTTCGATGTGTGAAATACCAAATTCTTATAAATGTACCACTATTTTGTCAAAGGAAACTAATTCAGATCAAGTTAAGTTTGCTTTATCATTGCCTTCTGGTACAAATAATCAAAAGGTAAATGATACAGAAACAGTGGAAACAACCGTTGACAAAAATATATTTTTTAAAGGTATGATGTATTTCTCTACAGATTATTTATTTTTCGGAGTTTCTGGATAATTAGTATTTAATAATTCATTACCTGATGGGTGGTACAGAAGGTATAGTAAAATTCCTAAACTAATAAAAAGTAGAATGCTCACCCATCAGTATAGGTGTCTTGGCAATCACTTGTAGAATAATGTTCATTGAAATAACACAGCTGAAATGTAAATAAAATTAATGTGAGCAGAATGAAACTTTTATAAGGTAACCAATTAATACCTTAAGCAATTATAGGAAGATAAATTTGCATTTATACCCAGTTTGAAAAGTCCAACTTTGGTAAAATATTAAATTAGTTCTAGTTAACTAAATTTTCAAGGACCAACCATAAAATATGTGTATTCAGTATTAAAAAAAAAAAAGGCAGTTTGTAATTTTCCATGCTTCTAGTCCAACCTTCAGTAGTTTGTCTTATTCAGATAACTATGCTGTATTCTTTCTTCCCCCAAGCTGCTGAAATTTTTCTCTTTGCAGAAAATCAATTACGCACAGAACTACCTTGTAATAGTACCTTCTTGGCTCATGTCAAAAATGCACAATCTTTAAGACAGTCTGAGGAGCTTACAAAACAATGTAACAATAGTTCCTTGGCATTCTGTGGAAATGTGACTGAAAGAAAGAAACATGCAGTACTTTATAAATCAAAAACTCAACCTAATATAAAGGATTTTGATAAAACATGTAGCTCAAATAATTTGCCTCATTGTGGTATCAACAGTGGTAGCAACACCAATGACATGGATTTCCAGGAATGTTCAAGTGACTTGTCTTGCATTATTCCTTCACCTCTTAAATTTAGCAGTGAAAGTAACATAGATTTTAAGAAGCTGCTTTTTACTGACAAGATGAAGACTGAAGAAACTATTTATGATGCTGATATGGAATTGACCACCAGTGATGCAGGTGAACTACTCACAGTTTCAGCGAAAGACAAAGATAAATTACACCAAAATAAAAATTGTAATGCCAATTCTGATAAAGTATTAGCAAATTTCAGAAAGGTAAGATATTCTAAGAAGGATAAAGTGAAAATTAAAAGCAAGACTGAAGTCAGTTCAAATGTGTGTGCAGAACAAAGGGATACTAGGGCTGAAGTTTCACAAACTACTCAGTCACAAACTCAAGTATTCCGAAGTGAGATGGAACAGCTACCTACAGGAAATTCCTTAGGGAAACAGAGTTTGCTAAATACCAGCGAATACTATCAAGCACAAAATTATCCAAGTAAATTTAAGGGTACTAAGAAGACATATGAAGTTAACTTAATGAGTCCAAGAAAACAGGAGACAAATAAAGAAGCTTTCTCAGAAACATTTGAAGACATGGAAAGCAAAATACAAAAAGCAGACTCAAACTTGTCAATTAACAACATCCCACCTGAAAGTTACTGTGCTGAAAATTTACAATTCCAGGGTGACACTTCTAGTGAATTGCCTTCACAGTTGGACTTCCTGTATAGAAATGAGAAACATATCAGACCAAAAATAAACGGGAAAACTTTTCAAAACCCTTCTAAAGTGAACAGAGCAAAACACGGTGGAGAGAAAAATGGGCAGTATGAAGAATGTATTTCACAAAAGTCTCAGACAGACCAACATGACAGCAAGAGAAAACAAAACCAGAAGAATATTATAAAGAGAAAATGCACCAAAAAAAATAGTTACAGACTAGGTGAAGAAACGGAGTGTGACAGCATTAATAAAATTACTCAGAAAGTAGACCAAAAGAGTATCCATTTTTCATCAGGCAGGTTAAAGCGTACATTGGCAAAGGCTGGCCGGAAGGCATATATAGTACCAAAAGAAAATCTTACACAGTTCTCGCTTTGTAAAAATGAAGGATTAGAAAATAAGGATGTGTTAATGCATGCAGAGGCTGTTCATGAAAATAAAGTAACTGAAACTCAGGAAATGCAGGTTGCTTTAGTTACTCAAATTGGTGTAGCTATAAATAGACCACAGGATAAAGAAGAAGTTCATGTTGATACTAAAACTTTGAAGAATGTGAATTACTCATCAGTGGCACATAAAACCCTTCAGATAAGTGATTATCCTGATAATGGGGTAAATTGCAAACAGTGGCTTAGTTCCAATATTACTGAGACCAAACCAGAAAAAAATTATTTTGGGAATATTGACCAAGGGGGGCAGAATATTTTGGATGACCAGGAAGTCCCTCATGAGATGGATTCCTCTATGAGCAAGCTAAAACCTACGGCTCCAGAATTAGAATTTTTAAAACTCTCACCTGTCGAATATTCTAAGAATATGCCGTTCATTGTAGATGGCTTTTTCCAGGAAGGTCTTTCCAATGTGAAACTCCCAGCTCTAGATAACCACAATGCTTCTCTGAACTTCTCTAAGCTGGAAAACTCTGAAGTCTGCAGGGAAGATGATCATAATAAAGCACTGGCTGCTGGAAAAGCAGAACAGAAACTGGATCGCGTTTCTAAAGAGACTTACAATAAGACCACACCTCGTCATGGTAAGTATATGGGTGAGGCAAAAAATGGCAGTTTTAGTTAGGTAGTACCTGAAATAGTGGTAAGGTATCTTCTGTTAGTACTGTCCTATTCTTATTGCTTGCTTGCTTGGAGTGAATAAAACAGGTAGAAGAAAGCAAGACTGAAAATCACTAAAATTATTAATATTCTGTATCATATTTCAGCCACAATATCTTTATCTAATTGTGGTAACTAAAATTGCTGTAGCTTTTCAGTATGTTCCAAGATGACATTTAGTTAGATGTCAGTGGTCTGTATTCTTGCAGTTATAGTTTGAGCCTGTATTCATTTTTCAAAGAACGTAACGGAATTAAAAAAGTTGGGGGTAGAACAGATACAATAACTTGAGCTTTTATAGAAGGAAATAAGGGGAAACTTCACTGTTCCCTTCATGATTGGAGAACATAGCTGGACTTAGCGATTTCAATTGTATTTCTTTAGAAACACTGCAGTTAAACAGGAATTCTGAGATCTAAAAGAAGTACTTTGAGCAGGTTTACTTTAGAATCAACCCATGAGCAAACTTCAGTGTGACTACCTCTTTTAAGTAAGGTACAGGAAGAAAATAATCAAAGTTTAGCATAGGCTGGAAGACTGGTTTAGACTCTTCTATCATACAATTAAATTACTGTAAAGAAGCTAAAGAAATATGTGAGTTTAAATATGCTTTAAAATGTAGCTTTGAAGTTTTCTAGTATGAGGGTTCTATTTTGTAAACATACTTATTCTCAACAAGTTCCTATTGACTTCATTGTCTCTGAAGGTGTCCCAACACCTAGACGGTTTCGTAGCTCAAATTTGTAGTTTGCATCCCCAACTATCATGCAAATATTGGCTTGACTTCTTTTGAATGCTAGGACACAACAGCCAAAAAAGTCTCCTTTTTTATGTGACCACAGCATAGGAATAATAGCAGAATTAGACCATTGTGTGAGGTATTAGTCCTGGTAATTTGAAGTTGCATCTTCTTGTCTTTGATTTTTGTCTTCTTTGGAGGGTAGAAAAATGATCCCATAATTTCATTAACTTTAATGATAAATTAATAGGCCCTAGTGATTAGCAATATAAAAAACACTGACATAAAAAATAAGCGAATAATTTTATCTTCATCCATTTAAGTATATTTCAAAAAACAGTTCATCTTTCATCCTACATCCAAGTCCATATCTTGAATTAAAAGGAAGCAAGGAAATGACAGCTCTTCGGAGAATGCTAGCTCTTCTGATCACTACCTTTAACTGTTCTTAGAAATATGCCTTGAAAATGTCATGTAATTAAAGGCTCTATATAGTTAGGTCTATGTGAACACAAATATTTGCACTTAAAGGCATCCAGCTTTCCTAAATAATGCAAACTCATAGATGTCTCAAAGCTCTTAATGCTTAAGAAGAAGTTGGCCTGATCTCTAACTTTTAGCTTTTGGACAAGCTCAGAATAACAGTTTGCTTTGACCTTTAAAAGTGGTACAAATCAAGATTGATTTGTGAGGTAGCCAAACTTGGGAGGTTCTTCATGATCAGAAAGCCCTCCTGTTTAAAACAAATGAGCATTGCTCTTCCTTAACAAACTCCTTCAAAAACAATGCTTTTTCTTATGCCTTCATAAATCAGGAAGGACTTGCTGCAAGCAGCCAAAAGTCACCTTAATATGTCAACAATAAGTCACCTTAATATGCAATAAACAGGAGGAGTTGGAGGCCTTTGTGCTGCAGGACAGCTATGACATAGTTGCTATCACAGAAATATGGTGGGATGATTGTCATGACTGCAGTACTGCAGTGAAGGGCTATAAGCTCTTCAGAAGGGATAGGCAGGAAAGGAGGTGGTGGAGTGGCACTGTGTATTAAGAGAGTGTTGCAGTTGAATAGAGCTTGACAAATGTGATGGTAAGGTCGAGTGCTTATGGGCAAGGATTAGAAGGAAGGCCAACAAGGCAGGCATCCTGTTGGGAATGTGTTACAGACGACCTAACCGGGATGCGGAGGCTGAGGTGGCATTCTGCAGGCAGTTGGCAGAAGTCTCCAAAATGCCAGCCCTTTTTCTCATGGGGGACTTCAGTTTACCAGATGTCTGCTGGAAATACAACACAGCAGAAAAGAAACAATCTAAGAGGTTCCTGGAGTGTGTGGAAGATAACTTCCTGACACAGCTGGTAAATGAACCTACGAAAGGAGGTGCCTCGCTAGACCTACTGTTTACAAACAGGGAAGGAGTGATGGGTGATGTGGTAGCTGGAGGCTGTCTTGGGCTTAGTGACCATGAAATGATAGAATTCTCAATTCTCTGCCTGATCAGCATTGATCTCAGCACAATAATCTGCTACAGATTAATAGTAATTCAGCACTATGAGCTTGATCATCAGTTAAGAGTATGTATGCTAGACTGTATAAGGAATTCAGATGCTATAATAATGAGAGAAAATAACTTTTTTGAGAAGTATGTAAACATATAATGAAGTAACTTCTTGGTCTTCAGATAGGCACAACACAAAAATTGTCATTTATCCCATATATGTATGAATTTCCTCTATGAGATTAGTAACATTAGTGACACAGAGGATTTAAGGTAAAGCATCTGTTCTCAAGAAGTGACAATAAGAGTTTTAAATTCGGTGCCTTTGAAAAACTACATTCCAGATGTTCTCATTTGGATGCAGTAAATCTAAAACTTGACTTCTAGCAGTGAGGAATATATACTCTTGGAAGAACTTTTAAGGAATACAGATTCATATGATTTATTTAATCTTGGATTACTGTCTGCATTAAGTCTTAGTGCTTGTCAGAGAGACTGTGATCTGGAAATGGTTTATAATATTTGAACGAGGGCTAAATAATAATTTCAATATTTCACCCAAGTTATTGAAATGTTTGACTCCAAACTAAATATTGATTGTTTGCTTGGACATTCTGCATTGGTTTTAAAGGATCACAGAAAGCTGACACAAATAGTACTACTTCTGCCAAGGCTAGTTACTTTTTCTATGGAAAATTCCTCTTGGACATGTTTAGTGATTCAAAATACGAAGCATTGAAAATGAATGTTGTTTCTAAGATAAGGAAGCTCACTTAATCACCTTGCTATGCTAATTTTATGCGTGTATGTCCAAGGAGCAGGCATACAGTTGGAAAATGCAGTCTTAGAGAACTTGTGAACATGTTGAACGTTCAGGTTCTACATATATGCCCCCTGCCTGCATCCGGGGCCATGAGCTTATGGGGCTTTCTTATAATGTTCAAGAGCCGTCCATGGCAGACCTCAGTGCTCCAGATTTGTGTAGGTTGAAATCTGCTGTAGTGACATTTTCTTTCAGAATCTACCCTATTTTTTGTTGAGCATCTTTAGAGCAGGAGCAGTAACCAAAGCACTTGATTAAGAAATACTAATCAAAAAGAATTATGAGTTGAAAGTTTACTTAATTATTCAGAAAATATTGAAAATGAGGCATATAACCAACTGTATTCACAGGAAGAAAGGCTTTGCAAGAGTTGACAAATAGAAGTATACAATCTCACACTTCAGTAACTAAATCCCCCAAAACTTCAGAAGAAAACTCAGCAGCACCATCTAGACGAGGAAGGGCTACTATTTGCTACAAAGAACCCAGTATAAACAGGTAGGTAGACAAATTAGGGCTTTTGTTTGTATTTTGGTGTACATAATAGTCCCCAGTAAAGATTTGTTATTAAACAGTTGAACTATCTCTTTTACAAATCTCTTTTGCAAATATACTTCAGTGTTGATATAAAACATTTCCTGTTAGGCAGGATTTCAAGTGCCAAAGTAAGACACCAACAGTATTCAAGTCTTGAAGTTTAAATATAGCATATAATATAACATTTTATGCTGGTAGTGAATAATGGCGCATTCTTAATGTTTGTCAGGATACAAACCCCTTTAGAGTTGATGATTGTAATTGTTATGCTTAAATGTATACCATAATAATGTTATTGTAACATTGTCAAGTGGCAAGCTGATTAACACACTAATAATCTATTATCAGTTGTTTTGCTTTAACTAGCTGTATCTAAGAAATAATTTGAGTTTAAGATCTATTAATTTGATAATTATTTACCTCTCAGTGTTCATAGCAAATGTAGTGGCACAGGATTTCTGAGATTGTTAAAAGATTACATAAATTGTATAACTATGAAAATTTAAGAGGATTTTAAAGCCAAACCTCTGTTAAGAAAACTAATATATTTGCATTTTTGTGAAAAAATCTAAATCCTAATGGACCTCTAAGCTTATTACTTCTGAAAATATCGATGCTATGTTAATTGGGTTTTTTGTTTGTTTGTTTGGGGGTTTTTTAGTATAATATTACTTTAAGGAAAAATTAGACTCTGTTGTGTGTGCGTGTTAGTAGAATGCATATTCATTAGGTAAAGACTATATCAAGATTTCTCCATAATAGTGTTGTGAGCGAAATTATTGTAGCAGCTTACTTGATGAGGATGTAAAATGAGTGTTTTCCTTTATTGGGAAAACTGGGAGAAGATCACTCCTGAAACTGACATGTTCTAATGCATCTTTAAAATACTTTTGTTCACCTCTGTAAGTAAAAATAATTAATCGAAGCAGTGAGACTGATGACAAATAGGAGCTACAAGCAATGTAGAAAGTGTCTTGTCACTTTACCATTGGCTTTTCAGGCATATTTATGCCAGATAGCTTGTAAAAGAAATGCAAAGGGATTAAAGTTATGTTTTTCTTCTACTAATTGATTTGGATGCTAAAATGCTGTAGTATTATTATATTGACACAGTCTCCTCTTTTACCCCAGAACATTAAGGTTCTGTATTTCTTGACAGAGACAGTAACTAATAACCGAAAAAAAATGTGGTTGTCACTCAAGATTTTAGATTACTGTCTCCTATTTTATTTTTAAGTATGCAGTCCTGGATGGATACTGTTAAGCTTTTGGTTTAAGTAATTTTTTTAGTTTTGTCTTACAGGAATAAGTTATGATTACTCATGTATTAATATGATACAGGCCATGTAAAAAGATTATTATTTTATAGAGTTATTTTGGAAAACAGTAGTTATCAACACCTTGTTACTTCAGACATTTATCTTCCATAAATTTAATTTCTTGAGTGCATCAAGCTTTCCTTGAGAGTATATGTAATTTGGAATTTTTATGCTAATTGCATTATTATAGTTACAGAGGTGCTTGGTGATATGCATACATGATGTCTTCTGTTTTTTTATTTACAGCAAATTAAGGCGTGGGGATCAGTTTACAGATACACAATTTCTGGATTCCCCAGTCTATAAAGTTAAAAAAAAAAGAAGTTTAAAGAGTAAATCAAAATTTATTTGAAGAAGACAAGATAATTGCCTTTATGAATGATACTTCTAAAATGGGTACAATTTTTTATATATATATTTTAGCAGTATAGTGTGCTTATTGTTCTTTTATTAGTAAAGGTCTTCCAAAGTTTAACTTCATGGAAAGGAGCCCCTATATAAGGAACACAATACTTTATGGAGGAAGGAAAATACAGATTAGGCTGTGCTCTTGTGTTTTGCATTTCTAGTCAGTGATGTATATAATCTGTTCAAAGGGTTTGAAGCACTTCTTAATTTGTAAGGAAAAATTTAAAAATAAATAATCTTTGGGAATTTTAATGGGAGTTAATTGTATTTACCATGAGTAGAACCATTTCTCAGTGCTGGTTGGAACAGAAACAAGCATCTCAAATAGTCCTCCTTTTTATTATTTTATTTTGTTTATTTTTTATTTTGACAGAATTATACCAAAATTTGAATGAGGAAGTCTCATTTTGAGGAATAGTAGAGAGAAGTATAGTGTTCAGAATATGTGCCAGAGGCAGCCAGAAAGAAAGTAATACTGCAATAAAAATTCAATACTAAACAGGATCCAGACAAAGCAACACCATAAGTTTCCAATAAAGAGAGTGCTAGTGTGGTGACCAATACAACTGCATCATACCATTAAGCTCTCAGGTTTTTGTACTTCTTATCCTCTGGATTCTCATGCATCATTCTGCATTCCATAATGCACTGTCAGCTGACATTTTTCTGGCATTATGTGAATTGTAGATGCTGCCAGGCTATATAGCTCACTGCCCACACAACTTGTACACGCTACATCAGATAAGGTTCACGTTCATTTGGCAACCAAGATAGCCATAGCTCATTTTTAAGGAGATACAAGTAAGTTAACTTTTGGTTATAGAAGACAGTTCTTCACATAGTATGCAGTTACACTGAGGAATTCCTTACTCCAGAAGCAGATGTTATTTGTTTACATGGGCTTTAAAATTAATTGGACAAATTAATGGAAGAAAAAATCTATGAGTAATTACTAGAAACACCATCTCTTGCACAGGATGTCTCTGAATTCAAGTTGTTGAAGGCTGGAAGAGTGTTCTGGAGAAGCCTTACTATGCATTTGACCAATTTTTATACTTTTTCCAAGGATGTGTATTGTTGAAGTGTTCAGAGACCAGTTCTTTGGTTAGCTGGACCTTTGGTCTGACACTGTTTTTAAGAGGTGTAACTAATACTCTTAAATATATAATATATTCTTTAAAATAGCAAACCAAACTGTACTCTGTACTTCATCGTAGCTTCCGTTGTAAGCTGGGAGAGGATGGAGTAAATATTCTTGGAAACTGTTTTGTACTTGTTAAAGACAAGAAGGTGATTGTGAGTAGTCAGCATTGATTTAAAAAGAGGAAATCATAGAATCATAAAATGGTTAATGTTGGAAGGGACTTTAAAGATCATCGGGATCTAACCTCCTTACTGTGAGCAGGGACACCTCAGACTAGACCAGGCTGCACAAGACACCTCAGACTAGACCTAGCCTTAAACACCTCCAGGGAAGCAGCATCACCAACCTCCCTAGGCAACCTGTTCCAGTACCTTACTACCCTCTTGGTGAAGAATTTCTGCCTGACGTCTAACCTAAATCTACCTTCTTTCAGTTTAAAACCATTACCTCGTGTCCTAAAACTGCCCTCTCTGGTGGAAAGTCCCTCCCCATCTTCCCTGTAGTAGGCCCCTTCAGGTACTGGAAAGTTGCTATAAGGTCTCCCTGGAGGCTTCTCTTCAGCGTGAATAGCTGTGATTCTCTCAGTACAAGGCCCTTAACTGTCTTAAAGTAAAAGGCACAAGCACAGTCAAATTGTGGGGAAATTGGGAGATCAGAACAGAACATTGAAGCTATAATGCAAAGGTATCTTAACAATAAAATGTACCACTGATAGTCAAATCAGTCAATAAAGGTAAACCACTTAAATGCTAGCAGCCTTCTTATTAATAAGTTTTATACTCAATCTAGAACATTAATTGCCATCTTTAAAAGATTCCTAAAATCTTAACATTTAAAACTGAAACATTGGATGGTTATTCAGAAGGACCTGGAAAGGCTGGAGAAATGGGCCAAGAAGAATCTCATGAATCTTCAACAAGGGGAACCTACATCCTTGTGTGAGTTGCCAGAATTTCAGTTGCATTCTTTGACAGAAAAATGAGTCATACATATAAACATTTATTTCTGGCTATAGCTTTCAGGTGTGCCCATTCTACATGTAAGTCTTGAAATATAAGCATGAACAGTAAGAGGCACAAAACATTATTTACAAATATTTAAGCAATACCACAATTGTTTGCTGTTGTGATTTTTTTTATGACAGTCTGTAGCCCCAAGGCAGCTTCTCCAAGATCCTGCAGAACATTCCATGTATGAATTTGGAGTTAAATATGCCACTAGCAAGGTAATTTACATAAGGGAACTTTATTCCCTAAACAGAGATTTTGTCTACCTGTGGTCACCAGATCCAGAGAGCATGCAAAGATTGTCAGTGTACAGCAATAAGGACAGCAAGATGTTTTCATATAGAACCCCACAGGAAAAAAAAAGTATTCTGTCATTATGAAAAGTCTTCCAATACTAAACTTACCTTATCACCCAGGCAATGGGCTCTGTGTTGCAAAACAGGCTGTTAAAATTATTTTCTGAGAAGCTTCAGCAAACAGACCTTTTATTTGTGAAACATGCTGTGTTTGTCATTACATCAGCAAGATTATGAAGAGGCACAGAAATAAGGAAGGTAGATTTTACCCAGATTCCATGTTATTTTAAAAAGAATTCTTTGTTTTGGAGAAAATGAAGCATAAGCTTCTGTTTCTAGCTTTCAAACCATGGGCAATAGAGAGAAACAAACATTGTAAAAAACACTGTTTTGCTGTTGCAGTGCCAACACAGGAGACACAAGTTTTAACAGATAATTCTTTTGGATTTCTGGTTATATTTATAAACAGTGAAAGCTAGCAAGAACATTTTAAGTAAAAAAAATAAAATCCCAAACCCAATTAATTACACACTTGGTAAAAAAAAAAAAAAAAAAAAAAAAAAAAGATAAAAAATATTTTCAAATTTAGCATTTGGGGGGAAAATGCATCAAAATGAAATAGACTTTCAGCTGAGTATCAAATTTGGCTGGTGAGCAAATCAGTTTTTCATTTGTACATACCTGGCTTCTCATCTTTGGTATTAGAGAAGAGCTTTTCAGAGGCACAGCAGAGTTAGCAAGACTCAAGTACTGAAATATGGACTGTTTGGCAACATAAAAATAATATTGCAAGAAGAGAAACTTGATTCAGTGCAACTGGGAGGAACTAGCTGCTTCTAACCAATGGAATAAGAAATACTCTAATCGATCAAAAAAATAGGTGTTTCTATTGCTCTCTGTTACTTCATTAAGACGGATGAGTGAAAGTTCATATAAATAAAGCTAAAAGAAAAGTCATTGCTGATGGTAGCCTTATGGACTTCCTGTAGTGTTCATCTTAGTACTGCCAGGGAGACTGTACAATCTGCAAAACATCAGTTCTTTATGCTGCACTGCCTTTATTGTAGCAAAGTCCTGCTGCATTTTCATTACTAGTGTGACTGAAGTTAAATTCCCTTAGTATGACCTTTCAATGAGCAGCAGTTATTTTTAGTAGTTGCAAGGTGCCCTAGTTCATTTTTCCTGGAAATATATATGTCTGAGAAGGAATTTCCAGAAGGAGCCCAAACTCTCCTGTGGTTGTTGGCAATTAATCTACTTCTCTCAGAGGGAACTGAAGAACGATTCTCTTCTGGCTTTGAAAACAGTCTGTGCCCTGAATTTTGCAAAGCCTTGGTTTCTTAGTTACATCTTGGTTTTAATTTTTTTACTGCAGATAATAGAGAAGAATGGTGATCCTGAACAAATGCTGTTGTCTTATCTGTGAAAAAGATGTATTCTTTTCTTTACTGTTCTCTTAAGTCGCCCAGTTGAAAGCTTTATTTGAGAAAAATTCTCATATATAATTAAAAGGTGATTTACCAAGTTAGGGAAGTTGTGAATTTATTAAGATAAAGCAGCTATATTAAATGTTGTGTCATTCTTAAGCCAGATACTCTTCAGTGAGCTGCTGTATTTTTAGCCTAGTTTCCTAAACCAACAGTTAAGCCATCAGGGATGTGAATGTGTGTATCTGTGTTCCTCCCCTCTCCTCACATAAAGAAACCTAAGAATCCTTTGGGCTCTATAGGGAAACTTGTCAGAATAGGAGTCTGAAAGTCTCTCTCCCAAAAAAGGGAAAACCTCATGAGGAGAACCCAAGTCTGATAGAAATTTGAGGTATTTTTTTATATTATAAGAATTCCAAACAGATTCCTAAACTCAAAGCCCAGGTTTACTGTACAAGTATGTTTTTAAATCAGGGGAAAAAAAAAAAAAAAGGCTATACAAGACAGAACAGAAGTTGGGAGAGTTACAGCTCTCACCCTTGCAGTTTTGTCTGCAGACAAAGTTCTTTCCTCCTGTCTTCTTTTCAGTCCACAGTTTCTGGCCTTTCTTGTTTGCTACAGATTGTGCAGCACTTGCTCTTATCTTCCTCTCTTTACCATTTCAGAGCCCTGACCCGTGTATCTGCTCTCAATTGCTCTTAGCAGTTTGCCAAAATCTGCTGCAATACAAGTTTATTCCCAGTATTCATGAAGCTGTTGTGTAATATTTCACAGCCAGGAGCAGGGAGCAAATCTGGGGAAGACCAGAATCTAATTTTTTGCAGCTTCCTAGACTGTCTCTGGTATACTACAGAATTCACGTGGTAGCGTTTTTATATTTGTCTCAAAAAAAGCCCCTTGAGTGGAGACATGTTTATTACTGGTCAGTGATAAAGAGGAGTCTGGAGCTGACTAGGTTGCTGTGGTTATTATTCTTCAGTAATTTGAACAACTTCAGACTCCATTTGACTATAAAAGTAGCTAAGTACCAGCCCTGTCAAAGGACTTGCACTTCATTGGTCAAAGCACAT